AATGTACAAGAAATGATGGGAAGGAAAGTGGTGATGATGCATTTGGTCAGCAGTTTTCTTCATTTGCAAGTGCCAGAAACTCAAATTAGTTTTAGGAAAAAAAGGAGTTATTCCAAGGATTCAGGATATCTCCTACAATCAGAGGAAGAACTGAATCACCAAGTCACAAACTCTGTTCTACAAGGGACTCTCACTAAGCTTCTCATCTTTGCTTCCTGTTGGAATCAACTTCTTTCTCACATTCTCTGACTGGCTCAACATAGCAAGGGACCAGCTGCAGGCCAGGTCTGCATTTCACATCTTGATGCTACCTCCACCAGAGAGACTTACTCATATTCTCTCTGATCCCAAGTCCACAAAATCTCAGGGGACTGTGAATGGCTCAGCTTTGTTTGGGAACCTATCCCAGAAACACTCAGTACAGGGGAGCAAAGAGCCTGGTGGCTTCAGTAAGATGGCATTGCCATATTGGAGGGGGAGAAAGGCGGGCTGCTATGTCAGCAAAACAATAAGCAGCCCCCTCAAAATTATTAATCTGCAAATGTCCTGGCAGTCAAGAAAGGGGGCTAATCAGCCCTGCAGGTGATTTTAAACAAAGCACAATACTTGGCTGTGTTGCCCTCTATTGATCCTGACACTCCCTTGATAACCATCCCCACACCCGCCCAGCTCCCCGTCACCTGGACTCACCAACAGCCTCACCACACAGCTCCCAAACTCAATTCCCCCACCTGCTCCCATTCCAGGAAGTCCTAGAAGCTGGACCTCCCCTTGGTCTTACTTTTGAGGAGTACCTTCTTCAGAGGCTTTGATGGCCATCCCAGTCCCTAGGACTGAAGCCAGTTTCCTGAGCTTTTTCTCAACCTCTCCCCTCCTATCACTGCACCTCTCATATCAGTCAGGGCCCAGCTTACCCCAGACCAGACCTTCTCCAAGACGACCCTCTGACCTCTCCAGCCTCATGCTCCCTCCCACTGACCTCCGGACAGCCGGCTGCAATGTTCAGTGCTCACATTTACAGAGTGCCTTTCGCATGCCACTGAAGTTAGTAAGTGCTTTTACATCCTTCATCTCACTTACTCCCTGAGTGACAGATACCACCACCCCTTTTGACAGAGAGGAAACAGGCTCAGCAAGGTTCAGTAACTTGCCCCAAATGACACCATTGGTCAGTGAAATAACCAGAACTTGAATCCAAGACTGACAACCAACCTCAAAACCTTTGCTCTAAATCAAGGGCCAGCAAACTTAAGCCCTGTGAGTCATTCTGTCCACTACCTGCTTCTGTGCCGCCCTGGGGCTAGAATGATTTGTTCATGGTTGGAAAAAAAATCAAATGAAACAAAATTTTGGTACACATGACTTACTTATCATTCACTTACTGTCTCTGGCTGTGTGACATTACAATGGCAGGGCTGAGTAGTTGTGACAGAGGCCTGCCTAAATTTTTTTACTATTTGGCCCTCCACAGAAGAAGTTTGATGACCCTGGCTCTAAAAGGTACCACCAGCCTACCTCAACTCCACAGCCCCACAGGGTTCTAAACACTCTGCCTGCCTGTGAGGAGTTGCTCTATTTCTCTGAATGCTGAGCCTGCTGGAAGATCTTGGAAGGAAAGCAGGTGGGTTTTAGTCCTCTTTGTACCTTCAGGTACTCACGACTTGCCTTGGATGGGAGAGAAGGTTCTAAACCCGAGAACATCCTGAACCAACCCCTACTGGCATCCCCCTGCTGAGCCAGGCTATCCATACGGGAGTGGATGGTGGGGAACCTTTGAACCCACAGGATCTGACTCATCTGAGGTGCACGCTGGGTCTTGTTTGGTTTTCAAGGAACCAGTTTCAAGTAAAGAAGCAAAAGGAATGGGTCTTATCCAGGAGAATGATTCAGAAAATTGTCCTGTGGACTAAGTGGGGTCATGACAATGCTAAGCCTAAAGGCTGACAAGTAGTAGGTGCTTTATGATCAGCAGTGAGGAGGAGGAGGAGGAGGAGGAGGGAAATGGGGGATTTGGGAGCTGCCAGCTTTTGCTTGCCTGTATTGGGCTTTTGTGTAAGTTAGAAAGAGGCTCCCCTTCCTCCAATACCCAGAGCCCTGACCACACAGGACCCACTTGGTGAGCTGCTCTTCAGCCCCACTCCCTGCTCCACAGCTGTGGCAGCCCTGCTAGACCTGAGACTAGGGAGGCACTGAATGGGGTCCCCCCAACTCAGCCACGAACTCGGTCCATAAACACTCCTGGGCTTCAGATTCCTCCTCTGTGCAATGGGGACACCTGTCTGGTCTCCCTCAGGCAGTACCAATGATGAAATGAGGGAGCAGATGTGGAATCAAGGGTGGAGGGTTTTGATATGAACCAAATGACCAAAGCCTGCCATTTCCAGAAAGGGTTTTGTTAATGATATTTTTAGAAATTATCTCCTATAGAAAGTTTGGAAACAGAGGGCTATATTGCACCAAATGTACCAGGCCAGTATCATCTCTACACTTTATTTTGCTCCGGGGGAGGAGGCAGGGACAGAGGAAGACCCTGGAGCAGTACTTCTCAGCCTCCCAGATGGGGGTGGAGGAGGCGGTGGGTGTAAAAAAGCAAATTTTGATCCAGTAGGTCTGGGCCTGAGAGTCAGCATTTCTAATAGGGTCCCAGATGATGTGCATCTGAGGACTATACTCTGTTGCTAGGCCCTAGAACACCCTAGAGCAGCCCGAGGAGGTGAGGCCAGACTCTCTTTGCCCCATGGGGACAGTAGGAGCACTGAACATTTCCACCAACCCAGCAGACTTGCTTCTTGAATTCAGAGCGTGAGGTCAGTCTGGCTGGACCCAGATCTGGAAACCGTGGGAGTGAAGGCCGAGGACCCCACACCCCCCAGTGTGGGGACCGAAGCTGGGAAGGCAGGGAAGGGCTGGGTTTCCCCAGATCAAAGCAGGTTCCCCAGTCTTTGATTCACCAACAAGCAGCCTCTTCGGAGGCTGACTGGAGTTTGGAGCTGGCTGGCCTTGGGGCCTGGGGTGAGTGGTCAGAGGCCCCAGTCCCCTCTCTTTTTGCATAATAGCCGGGCTGCCTAACAAAAGGGCGGTCATTGAAAAGGCCGTATGGGGCTGTTAAAGCTTCCGGCAATGGTTTAATTGGGGGCGATTAAAGTGTCCTCCCCGGGAAGGCCTGCCCTTCAAAGGACAACCAGGCCCGACTCCCCCGCCCTCAGCACCTCGCCCCTTGGCCACGCCCCATGTGGTAGCCCTGCCCCCAGCCTCTCCCCTCCACCACCTTGCCCCCCACTTCTCTGCGGCTCCCCGCAGACCTGGGAAGTGGGCGGCTAGACCCTTTGGCCAGCCTGTCTAGGGGGGTTCCGTCCCAGCCCCAGGACCATCAGCACCATTTGTTCACACAGTTTGGTCTCGTGGCTGAGGCAGGTAAGACTGAGTCAAAGACATACTGCCCCGGAATCGGCCCATCCGGACCACTCTCACTGTCTGTCCCCCAAGGCAACTATACTGGCCTCTGGGCCCCTCCTTGAGCTCCCTTCCCAGCCCCTCTTCCCTGGGCCCTCGACTCTCTGGAACTTCATGGTCACTGCTGGGAGTCCATGGCCTACCAAACATTAATCTTCCACACATCTGCTGAGCACACTACCTGGGAGGTAGTGGTGGTTCACCGGACAGGGCCAGCAGTGGGGAGACCCTGGATAGGTGGATGGCAAAAGCAATAAGGCATACAAAGCTAAAACGAGGTGAGCTATAGGCTGACACCTCTTTCTGGTGGGGCTGGGGGAGCAGAGGGACAAGGAAGACTCTCTGGGAGTGACAGAGTCTATAGGTTGAACACCGGCAGCTTGATTGGGCCCATTTGCCAACCTTGATATTATTAGCAAGGCCACAGCTGGCTTCACTAACACACTTTACCCATCCAACCAATGTGGGATCTTTGGCCAGGCAAGTGGGATAGAACTTCCATCAAGTCTAGAAATAGTTGCTCTGGGGGTATCTGGTTCATATACTTGCTCAGAACCCAGTGGGATCTCTCAAATCCCTTCTCTGGCTGAACAAACCTACAGGGAGACGTCTTCAGGGTTGCTCCGGGAGCCATTTTCCTCGAGGCCCTCCTCCCACCAAGAGATCCAAGCCTTTCCCTTCAGGGTGCCCTGTTTTATCCCTAGGTTTCTCCCCATGTTGACTGGCCAGTGCCCCTCTGGGGATGGCCAAGGGTCTCTGGGATTTGCATATCTCAGGTAAGGAAAGTCCCTCATTTTTCCCAGGCGAGTGTGGGATAAAATGAAGCCCAGAGCCTGGGAGGTAGGGAGGCCTAGGCCTCACCTGCAGGCTGCAGAAAGCCTCCATCATGACGTCCCTATTCTCAGTCCTCTGTAAGGAGGTGTCTGTCCCTGGCTATCCCCCTGCCCACCCAACAGCTTTCCTGTCCTGTCCCTGCAACCTGCTTTGGCTCTCAGAAGCCTGTGCAGAGCAGGGCCAAGTAAACTGGGGCACTGGGACGGGGAAAGGGCAGAGGCTCTGAGCAGTCTTCTGACTGCACCCCAAAAGCCAGGCAGGTGCCCTGACTTTGATTTTCTGCAATTTCGGATCTCAAGAGCTGCGCTGCTGCTGGAGCAGCTCACTAAGCGGAGCAGCTAGTTGTGAGGTACAGGATCCATCCTGGCCCTGCTCTACCTCTGAAGGCTCCTGGAGGGCAGACAGCAGACATCAAAGGTTTCCTCACCAGCCTCAGCCCCTCAAAGAAGTCCCCTGGTGAAGCAGCTCTGGACTTCTGGTTCCCTGGACTGGACACCTGAGTGGTGCCCTCTACAGGGTGCATGCTGCGGACAAGCAGACATGGTGGAATCAGGGCTATACAAACTTGGGAAGGAGCTGACTGCTCCCCTCCGTCCCAGTCACCCTGCCCCCCAGACTGTCCTTTACTCCTAGGGTGACCAACTGGTCCAGTTGCCCTGGGACTGAGGGAGTTCCTGGGATAAGGGACTTTCAGTTTTAAAACCTAGACAGTTTCTGGCAAACTAATCCCAATTTGCTCAGGACTAAAGGTTTTCCAGGACAGGCTTTCAGTGTTTAACTGGGAAGGCTCCGGGCAGATTGGGACAAGCTGTTCACCATACTTTCCCCATAGCATGGCCTTTGCTCCCATTGGTCCCCTGAAACAGTGTACAAAGGCCACCACCAACCTTCAAAGGCCAGTTCCAATGACCTCTTCTGCCTCTTCCGGCCCCATGGAGGGGTAGGAATGGCGGAGGGCTGGAGCTATACCCAGCCGGCCTGGAGGGTGCAGCAGGGTGGGGCGAGGGGGCAGGGCAGTGACAGCCTTGCCTGTCGCACCCTCTCTGGGCTGGCTGCTGGGGCTGCAGCCTTTATCCCTCCCTCACACTATCTGGCCGCTGAAGGAGTATCTCCTCCTTGCCCACCCCAGCCCTGCCCTGGCTCAGATAAGAAGAGGGGCCACCCTGGGAAGACAGAGGTGAAGCTGTGGCCTGGGGCCTCCCCTGCCCTGGACCTCCCTGCCCGACTCTTGGCCCACCATGGCCAGAAAATCAGCAGGCATCCTCTTGGGGCCCATCCCTGCCAGGGCAGCTGGAAATTTCCTGTGTTCATGTGTTCATGTAACAATGAGAAAATGGGGCAGGAGAAATGAAAGGACCTACCCAAGGTCACAGGGCCAGACCCACAGGACTTAGGGGCAGGCAGCTGCCTCAGAGGGCAAGCCCAGAGGCACTTGCACTGAGCTCTGTGGCAGGTATGTTTAGAGGGAGGAAGACCCACAAATGAAGATTCAGCGCTACCTCCCTGCCTCCTGGCCAGCCTCCCAGACCACCCAAGCCCCGAGCCTTGGGGTCCACTTTCTACAGGGTTCAGGACCCTTGTTCTGCCTGGGCTTCTCCCTCCAAAAGAGTCAGCTCTTCGCTGCCAACGCCCAGCCCTAGTGCTGTCAGGGTCCTGCTTACGAGCCTCCCTGGGTTCCTACAGCTCCAGGGCAGCGAGACACCCCACTCTTTCCCTGAGCACTCTCCATCCCAACCACCACCCCACTTCCATCCTTCAGGCCCTGGCTGTGGCCACGGAATTCCTTGTGGTCCCCAAACATGCCATATCTTCTCTTGCATCTGCTCAGCCTGGTCTCTTCACAGGGAAGGAATATCTTTCCTTCACCTGGAGCTGTGGTAATCCTGCTGGTCTTTCAAAGGCCTTCTTACATGTTTCCGCCTCCAGGAAGCTTCCCTGAACATTCAGAAACACATTCTTTCTTTAAATAGCTTTAGCACTTACCATGTGCCAGGCACTGTGTTTCATTTAATCCTCACCATAACCACAAGCAGCAAGTACTTCAATATTACTATCCCTATGGTATAGACAAGAAACTGAGGCACAGAGAGGTTAGGTAAAGGCTCAAAGTCACACAGCTCTAAAGGGACAGAGGCAAGATTTAGTCTCTGGCAGTTTGGATACAGAGTCTGAGCTCTACACAACCAATGGCCTGCCCCTAGTGGTGTTTGTACCTCCATTAGCGCCCCTCCACACACCTCCCGGGTGGTATGTGAATCTTTCATATACTATCCTGGCTATATTTGACTAGACGGTCCTCAAGAAAGGAGCCACTGGTTTTGGACCATCTATCTTCCTGCAGGAGTTTTAGTATTTGTTTAGAGAGCTCCGAGGAGGACCCTTGCGCCAGGCCCCTGCACAGCCCTAGAGGCCCTTCTGAGAGGGAGCACGGGGAAGGACAGAATTTTCTTTCTATTAACCCTCAGCCCGGTTTCTCAGGAGTCTCTGTCTGGTTTCTTTTCGGCTCTCAGGGCCTGAGAACCACTGGAGCATGAGATGTGTGCAGGGCAGCACAGGTCTGGGATCTTGGCTCCTGGGGGCTCTAGTGGCCCCCTAGGACCTCTCTCTGCCCCTCTAATCCCTCCCTCCCAAAGGCCAGATCCATGTCCACCTCTTCTAAGAAGCCATGCCTGCTCCCAAGCCTGCCCGGGCCTGTTCTCTCCATCCCCTTCCTGCCTGTCTCCTGCACTATCTGGGGGATGTATGGATGTTTCTGGATCCTCATGCCTACTCTAAGCTCTCTGCCTGCAGCACCCCTCCCAGCCACACTCCCACACACCCCTGCACAGGGCTCTGGCTGCACTCCAGTGAAGGAGGGGACAGAGGAAAAGTAACTTTGCTTTGGAGTGACCCCACGGCTTCTTGATGCACCCTGAAGATTTCAGTCCTCTGGTGAGGGTCAGCCAGGCTCAGACTCGCTGACTTACCCAGGTCTCAGGGTTGGGGCTGGGAGAGGAGGTGCATGCATGCCCAGGGGTGCACATGCGTGTGTGTCCTTGCACCCATGGGTGACTGTGCACCATGGGTGAATGTGTGTCAGTGTGATTCATATACTTCTTTGCACAGTTTGCTTCTATGCTTGTACACCCCTGGGTACGTGCAGAAATCAGCGCAGGAGTCCCCTCCCCCTGTACACCTAACTCTTACTCATCTCTTGGGATGCTCCCCTGCCTGCCACATCCCGAAAACCTGTTCTGACCTCCAGCTCACAGTCCTTCCTCAACCCCCTCTCCACTGACCCTGCGGCCCTGACCTGCTGACCTGCACCACAAACACTACCTGTCTTGTTCTGGTTCAGGCCTAGAGTTTAGTCATCCCTTCTCCCTGAGGGTGAGGCTAACTCCTTTTCAAATTACCTCCAGAGCCCAATTTAGGACAAGGGACAAAACCTTGCCAATACACACTCACTGACCTGAATCAAAATCAACTCCATTGAAAGGGACTGCATTTGAATGAATGGAAACCCAAGC